TGCTTGGCTTGCTTGCTTGCTTGCTTGCTTGCTTGCTTGCTTACGTTCATGAATCTCCCTCGCCAAGACTGTAGGTCACGCAGCGACGCAGAATCGGCTTTCCGCAGCGAGAGACACGTTTTGCGCCACTCGCGAAACGCGATACCGTCTCCTTCACCGAACGATTTCACTCCCGTTTGTCTCCCCATTTCAAACGTCCCTGAGAATTCGAGGCGTTCGAAAAAGAAATAAACAAAAAACAAAAAATACAAGAAACAAAATATATCTAGCCAATTCTTATCATTGACTTATTATAGCTCGAAATGATTCATCTGATTATTCAAATATAGAAATATCATGCATAAATATGTAACATGTATTGCTATAGATAACATACAAAATTTCTATTGGATTGAAACGAAAAAGAACATTTTCATTGGCGTATGTTGATTGGTGGTGCGCAACGGGAAACGAAAAGAGATCACCCTATGGGTGTACACCGACGGTGCATCTCGCGGTACGGTATCCTTCACCCTCTCCGACCAGTTACATCCTGTAATCGGAAGACCTCGGTGTCGTTCGTGCGTTCTCGCATACGGAACGAACGAACGAACGAACGAACGAACGAACGAACGAATGAACGGATGGACGGACGGTCGAACGAACGAACGAACGAACGAACGAACGGAGAGGAAGAAAGCTTCTGCTCTCCGAGTTCATAGTTTCTTCCAAAACATATTGTATGCGAGGGTTAGTCGTGTGTTTCTGTAGTCATACGGACGCGTTTAATGTTTACGATAAATCCAAACCGATCACAAGACGAAACTTTTTAGACGTTAAGGGTGGATGGAATCAATCGTAAGAAATAGTACTAACAATATTAATCGGAACTATGTTCAAATTATACTTTACCCAAGTTAATATCTCTTTCTTTCTCTCTCCCCCTCTCCCTCTCTCTCTCTCTCTATCTCTCTGTTTCAGTCTTTAATCATGGGTATTAGAAATGGCAGGAACTTTGAAATATCCGATTGGTTTGGAGTTTAATTCCAAATATGAAGATTCTGAAATTAAGGAAACGATTCCTGATTCGTATTAAACTTTTTCGTTCGAATAACAGTGATGATTTCTCTTTGTATCATTTGGTATACGTTACCACGAGCAAATCCGTAATCATTTTGAGAGATGCCTGGAAGAGAATGAAGAAGAATCCTTTTCCCGCAAACTCCAGTAAAATATACTCAATCGAATAAACACAGAGAGCACGAGATATACCGGCTAACACAACAACTTGCGTGCCAGCAATAATGAATTTCGCTGGCCTTGCGAGCCGAAGGGGAGAGAATATCCCTTCTCCGCGCCCTCCCACCCCCTCCTTCGTGACTCGAGACCCTTGGCCAATCACGCCCATGGGTAAAGGAGAGGAGAAGCTCGAGGCACATCTCGCGCGTGGCGCCTCGTGCGTTTCGGTCCGACGACGACCGAAACGCCACGATTAGCCCGAATTCGTATGATTACATCGTGCGGAAGAATGGTAGAAAGAGAAAAAGAATAAGAGACAAAAGAGAGAAGCGAAGAACCGGAATTCGTGTTCTCGTACGACTCGAGTAAAACTCGACCGAGACTTATTCGCTATCATCGGAACGATCAGTACTGTTTATCGGACATTACCAATAATAAGAAACCTATCAATATCCTTATATAAAGTCAAATCAAATTTTAAGAAGAATTTAAGTTATGATTGTTCATTTATTAGAATAAGAACTTAATTCGATGATGTTTATACATTTATCGGCATTAGTTAAAAACAATTTGCAATAAGATATATTTTTCTTGTTGTTAAATAAAAATCGTTTTTAATATGGATGTGTGAATAAGAATCAAGGAAAAATAACGGATAATAATAGTCGTAATACGTAATAGAGCGTGGAAGGATCGAAGAGAAGGACAAACGGAGGTTCGACGCTCGGAGCGTCGTAACAGCGATCCGCTCTAGTCGACTGCCGTCCATTGAAAGAGCAGACGAGAGAGAGACAGCGGATGGTAGCACGCGCGACGAGGGTGGTAATGGTGGGGATACGGCCGGCAGGTTCGGCTCCTCCCGAAGCGAGACGACGCGACACGATCGTCGTCGTTGCTCGACTGGACGCCCGCCGCGGTGTGTGTATATAAATAGACGGTACGTCGACCGACCGTCTGCTGCTCTCCTCTCACCGGTGTTACGCTACTGCATGCGGAGCAAGTACTCGCGTGCTACGAGCCAGAGAGGGTGCTTTTTCTATCGATCTCTCTCGCACAGTGCGCGACTTGTGTTTCTGCCTTATCGACACCTTTCGAGCTTGAGAAGAATCGACGAAAGACGACACAATGAATGAATGACGATCGATTTTCAGATCGTATAATATTCGATACAACTTTTTATGTGTATGCATATACATATATGTATATAAATATATAAATATAAATAAATATATATACAAACACACAATGAGATCTAGATAAAAAAAGCCATTCTCTCTCTTAAATATATTCATAATTCTTAGTTTTTTAATCGAGATAAATTTCATTCTTATTTAAATTGAATAACAAGAAGAATTAAAATCATTTAAAAAATCATTTAAAAGCACATTTCAAGGTGATACGATTTCCTAACGGCGATGACATTTCTATGTTACTTCTATACTCGTTAGGAATAAGGTCTAGTTGTTGGTAGTAGTGGTGGTGGTGGTGGGACTTTAACGACGAGGCGGTTCAATGAGGGGATTGGGGTTGGCTGTCGTGAAGAAGCAGAAAACCTGGCTCGTCGCCTAGGTGGATATTTCATAAGAGCTGGAGGGAAAAACGTTCTCTTTAAAGGAGAAAGGATAACGACGAGTGCGAGCAATTTTCTATTGGGAAGAAGGGAGGATTCGAAAAATACATACAGAGAGAAAGAGAGAGAGAGAGAATGTGCACATATATAAATCGCAAATTCGAGCTTTGCTTTCTATCGGGAAAAGCTTTTGCGAAAACTTAAAGTAACAAAAATTACAGCTACATCGTAACTGAGTTCGAAATTTTACTCTGATTTTTGATATACGTTAATTACACACGCACGCACGCACGCAGGCACACGCGCAAACATATGTAGATTTCAACATATTTTCAAAAGCTTCTTTAAATGAGTCTCGATCAGAAACATACAATATCGGTTATTTGTGAGTGTATCACAGTTAAAATGACGAAAAGGATATGTTCGCGAAGTATCTCTTAAGGCAAATATGATCGGCGGACAACGATTTGTAGTCGGGCCCGTTTGTCCATCCTATACAAACTAGGACATAAATTTGCTAATTCTTCGTTGGAACGATGCACACGCCCTTTTCAGAGAACGCTGTCAGAGAAGTTTGCCAGAAGCTTCCGGTTACGTTTCCCGATCGATGCGCGGCTCTCTCTTTCTCTCTCTCTCTCTCTCTCTCTCTCTCTCTCTCTCTCTCTCTCTCTCTCTCTCTCTCTTTCTCTGCGGCAAACCGTCGCTCGTTGAAGTTTCGTCGTGGACCAACGAGCCTTGCGGTGCAAAGAGCTGCATATTGTTCCTTCGTTCTCTTTAATCCATCCGATTGGTTCGACTAATCGTTTGGATGTTGATATATATGTATATCATATACATATATATACATATATATATGTATGTATGTATAGCATATCACTTAAACGATAAACAAATCAAAATAATAGTCTGTTTTTTCTTTATTGATTAATCAAATGAACCAATAATCAAACTTCTCATTGAAATTTTAACTAATCAGCATTCTAAAGACAAAATAAATATCTTTTTCATTAGGGTTTTTTTCTATCATAGAATTTTCGAATAATCAACTTGAGAAACTAAGAAAAAGATATTGAAATTAGAAAAATTACGACCCAAACGACATAATATAAACTTTTTCTTTTTCTTTCTCTCTCTTTCTCTCTTTCTCTATCTATCTATCTATTTATTTACCTCTATTATTAATCTCTACCATTAATTGTTACCCTAATCTTTGAACGTAGGACAAATCATGCGAAGCTCGAAAGGAACGACGATTGGAGAAACATCCTCATAATGACACATTAACGTCTTGTTATATTTTATGTGTTGACGCAAGAATGCTGTCAAAGGAGAAAGTACATTACGAGGCAACAAACATAAGTCCTACAATGTAAATTTATAGTCTAACAATATTATAGAAGTAAAGACATTTAATTAAGCATTATCAATTTATGATGCCAATAACTTCTTCTCTGGTGTAATACAATATATTTTTGCTTCTTAGACTGGCTTATATCAATGTTTTTGATATTAATAATTTTAATAAATGCCGATAATTTATTCAAATACAATTGTACTTCCTTTTACATATATATATATATATATATATATATATATATATATATATATATATATATATATATATCATCGTCATCGTCATTGCTGTTTCAATTAGAACAGTTTCATCGTAGATTATAGACAAAAGCAAGCAACCCGTTATTTTCCTTCAACTTGTAAAACCGGATCATCAACTAGTAAAGAGAAGAAGGACGCGTCACACACAAGTCGGCGCTGTAGGGCAACGAAGAAATTCGAGAGGTTGGTCCTTATCCCTTCTTTTCTTTCTTTAGTAATTTTCTCTCTCTCTCTCTCTCTCTCTCTCTCTCTCTCTCTCTCTCTCTCTCTTTCTCTTTCCTTCCGCCATCTGGGATTCGGCTGTCTCAGAGGACCGTGAAAAAGACACTGAGGAATATATAAGGATGAAGAATCTCGTGCGAGAAGTTTTCATGGAATTCGAAGTGGATTTTTGCGGTTCGTGGAAGAATCCACGACGGCAAGGTCGAGGACAACGAAAGGTGGCGGCTGTGGTGTAGCAATGATGGTGGCGAGGGTGGAAGGGGAAAATGTGCGAGGTCGAGACCTGGGGAGCGAGAAAGAGAAAGAGAAAGAGAGAGAGAGCGAGAGAGCGAGAGAACGGAAAGAGAGGGGAAGGTACGGTGGAGGGGAAAGAAGAGAGATACCGAGGTCGATGGAGGCAAAGGGGGACAAGCAGGGGTGTTATTGCGTGGTAGTGTGGTTAAGCGTATTGATCCCAATCACTACGATATGTCCAGGCTCCGCCGCCTCGGGCACCTCTGGCCGGGTCATCGCTAGAAACGAGAGAATCCGTTAGAAACTATGATCAGCGTTGCGGAAGGTTCTCCGACAAGATGAGACAACAATTTAATGCCACTCACACGGTAAATACGTTGATCAATCCTATTAATATCTCTCCCTTTCTCTTTCTCTCTCTTTCCTCTTCTATGTCTAAATCGAGAAACAGTCAATAAGTTTATTTGAGACATTACCCCCCTCTCGCTCTTTTACAAGGAATAAGGAACAAAAAAGAAAAAAGAATAAAGAACACGCTATTCGAATTGAAGAGAAACCGGAAGACACAGAGGGCGTGCGGAACGCGTAAAATGGTGGAAGGTGGTTCCCTATGGCGAATTTCTCGAAGGAAATCTTCATCGTGGAAAATGAAAACGGCGAATATACGAAAACGAAAATACGAAGATCTGTGAAAAATATCTCAAAATGAAAAACCGTTAGTTGTTAATGTATAGTCATACATATATATATGATATAATATATATATATATATATATAATCGTTAAAAGATTTGATCCTTTCATTTCCTACTTTTTCTTTGACACCCTTTTTCTTTCCTCCTCTTCCTACTTCTCATCCTCCTCCACCATCTTCTTCTTGTTCTTGTTTTTATCATTAAGGCGTACGCGCACGCGACGACGGAACGATTAATGAAGAGCATGGAGACGATGCGACACGCGATGAAAATAAGAAAAAAAAAGAAAAAAAATAAGAAGAAAATAAAAGGAGAAAAAAAAGAAAAAGAGAAAGAAAATAAGAATCTGGCAACGCAGCGTAAGAACGTTTGCTTACTAGTAAGACTCGCCGTACATGTCGCCATACGTACGTATTACTACTCTCTCCTCCTTCACTCTTCTACTCTTCCTCCTCCTCCTCCTCCTTCTCCTCCTCCTCTTCCTCCTCCACCTCCTTCTCCACCTACTGGCTCTTCCTACTCTTTCTTCCATATCGCATCGTACGTAAATGCCTCGACGAGTTTGGTGCACTGCCGTTACGAGCGCTAATTGGACACCGTGAACGAGCGCGCGCGCTCTCGCTCGCGCACTCGCGCGAATTATCGACTCTCGGTGATCGGACCAAAATCGATCGACAAACCGAATGACCAATGAAAAGAACGCCTATGATATATGCTATGAACTCTAGCACGAATTTTTGTTAATTGTTTTTTTTCTTTTTTCTTTTTTTAAGACATGTTTAGAAATAATAATCATTGTTAGATAATAACTATTATTTTATAATCTAAATGAAACATATTAAAATATTAGATCTTCTGTACCATATAAAACATTGTTTTTAAAATTTTTTATCTCGATCGATATGATCGATAATAAATTTTCTAACTTTATTTTGAATTCAACGATCAGTCATTATTATTTGTTTTTCATTTCCTCTTCTTTCGTTTACAATCGATCAACAAATCAAATTTCCATCGTCGTACCGATATTAAATTTATAAGAGAAACGATGAAAAATCATAGGAATATATTGTTCTACGATGGAAAGATTGAGTTTATTCGAGTAAAAACGGGAAGAAGAATATTCGCTATAAGTCGATTCGGTAAATTGAACTCAACTGTAAGGAAAGCAACATTGTGAAGTTCGAGGAGAGACAGTCTCGAAGACGAGAGTCGCTACGATCGATCCCACAACGTTCCTCGGATGGTCGACATTATTGGAGTTACGTAATGGTACTTGGGCGGCAACGCATAGAGAAAGAGAGAGAAAGAGAGAGAGAGAGAGAGAGAGAGAGAGAGATTTTGTCGCCTCTAGCAAGTGTATGGGTATATATATATATATATTCGTAGAAATCAAATTTCCCGCGCTTCGCTCCCTGCACTATGATCTTAAACTATACAAAGATCGATTGAGCATAAGCGACATATGACTTCGCGTTTCTTCTTTGTGTATCTTTGCTAATAGGTCTCGTCAAACTGATATTTTTCATGAAATTAAGCGACATATTAGAAGGATATAAATCAACGATAAAACCAGTTGAGAGAAAGAGAGAGTGAGAGAGAGAGAGAGAGAGAGAGAGAACGCCATGTTGTTTCTATTGCTTACCAACAGTACCTCGAATTTTCTACCTTCATTTTTTTTTTCACCGACAAGTCTAGATTTACACAGTTGGAAACATTCCTTTCACCAATCGCAATATATATGTGCAAAGTTCTTTGAGGAATTACGAAATTGCCATGGAGATTATGCTGCTATCGGCGATCTCTCTCTTTCTCTTTCATTTTTATATTAATGTATGTATGTGTATGTGTGTGGGGGTGTATCTATTGAGAATACATATATGTATAAAAACTATTTTAATTAGTAATAATTCAATTTCAACATAGATATAATATGCAAAAAGAAGTTCTGCAAGTTTTGAAGAAAAAATATCTTTGCATTTTGAGATTATATAGTTGTCCTTAAATATATTATTGTATCGATGACTTAAAGAGCCATTTAAATAAAACAAAATAACTTCAACATATATATGCTGTATCTGTATAACATAACACATATTATATATATATATAAATAATATATGTTTAATACGTTTAATACGTTTAATAATAATAAAAAAATAAACGTGGACGCACATTTTTTACACACATCTTTTAAAATTTATTAATAATAAGAAAAAATTAAATTCAATATTTCTTTAAATTCGACATAGATGTTATGTATATCTTTATAATAAATATATTACATATATATATATATATATATATATATATATATATACATTATATGTATATATATATATATGTATAAAAATATATAAATATTTCTTTCGATTAATTTGCATATAAAAAATTAAATTCAACATAGATATGACATTCAGAAGAATAAAAAAAATTAGTGATTTCTGAAAAAATATTTTTGCATTTGGAGTTTAGATCGTTATCGCGAAAGATATCACTTGTTGTCGACGATTTAAAAACGAAAAAAGAAAAGAAAAGAAAAAGAAAACATCTACAGGGCGAAATTTTTAATTTATTAAGAAAAATGTATTTTACATAGATATATCTATATAATATATATAAATAAATCTTCCGAGATTTATTTTAAAATGAAAAATAAAATACGCCATGAATGTATGATGTTTCTCTTCATAAGCAATATATATATTGCATAATTATTAAATATAAAAAGATTAATTATTATTTATAATTATACATTATATTATTAGATGTAATTTTTAAATATTAAAACAACATACATCTTTTGAAATTAATTTTGAAACTAATTTTACAATAATATGAAAAAAATTAAATTCGATATAGAGATTAGTGACGTTTATGAGGATAAAAAAAGAAAAAAGGAAAAAGAAACGAAAGTTGACAAATTCCCGGAAAAAAAAAAAAAAAAAAAAAAAAAAAAAAAAAAAAAAAAAAAAAAAATATTTTTGCATTTTGAGGTTAGATCGTTATCCCGAAAGATATCGTTGTTGTCGACAATTTAAAAAACTATGTATCGCGCGAAAGCCCGTTCCAAAGTACAAAAGCATTCTCTCTTGTACCGACACACCGTAATATTTCCATCCTTCGCTCGACCGATACTCGCATTCTGCACGATCAGATAATCCTCGTCGGTATTAGCATAACGATGCTTTAACGAAAGCACCTTTGATAGGTCAAACAATGGGGCAACGCTGATGTTTATTTATCATCTCTCTCTTTCTCTCTTTCTTTCTTTCTTTCTCTCTCTCTCTCTCTCTCTCTCTCTCTCTCTCTCTCTCTCTCTCTCTCTCTCTCTCTCTCTCTCTGTCCCTCTTTTCTTCCTTCGGATGTTAAAACGATGTAACTGTACAGGTTAATTCGCGATAATGTTTCGTTTACGATCTATCGTGTATATCAATTTCAAAGAATTACGAGTATTGCTACTCCAATAATCAAACAAAAAGAAAGATAGATCTAATTAACAGTTGGCTATTACAAGGCACATTCCAAACTGAACCGAATCGAATCGAATCGAACCGAATGGTACCGAACCGAATCAAATCGATTTCATTGAAAATTTTACCATTACTCGTTTAAAACTAGATTTATAATTTACAGTTCGATTTGGAATTTAATAATCAAGACAATGAATATTGGGTACAACAAATTTCGTCTTAAAACTTCGATATAATCGACAAGATAATCGAACGAGTTTACTGTGATCTACGCGCATATCGCAGCAATAATCATTAATTATGTTTGTCATGTCTCTTTCTTCCTTTCTCTCTCTCTCTCTCTCTCTCTCTCTCTCTCTCTCTCTCTCTCTCTCTCTCTCTCTCCCTTTCTCGCGCTTTATCAAAGTTATTTCCTGATGTTTCTTCAATAGAAAAAGTAATAAAATCCATTTGTAAAGTTATCAAAGAAAGAGACCAAGTATAGTATATAATACATAGTCAAACTTTGATAAGAAAAGAGAAGTAAAGTGAAGAGAACGGAAAAGATACTTCTCGGCGTTTCTCTCTGGCGAAGTGGCGACGGACGCCATATTGTTTCTAGATGCATCCGCCACAAGACACCCACTACTCTGTTGGTCTCGTCCACCGACTCTAGGCATCGACTTTATACCTATTAAGGTCTGGGATCGATAACACGTATGTATACATATACTCATAGATGATAGGTACACGTTGAGCGATTATTAAATGCTCTAATAAAGTACACCACTCTAAAGTTTCATTCAAAATTGTTTCTAAGTTCCGCGCATATATATACGTACGTATGTACATACGTTGATATACATACGTTTTTATATGTATGTGTACGTATGCATTTAACCGAAGGTAAAAAGAATATTGTCACATTACCCCCTTCATCCCTGCGCGCGTGCTTATGTCACGATGCCAACTTCCGACTGAGTCCGCGATCGATCGTTGAGCTTTTCGTAGAATTCTATGTAAATTCGATTTGTTTTTTTCTTTTTCTTATTTTTATTTTAAATGCAAGATCTTCCATCGATTCGTCGAAATATTACACGATGATTGTACATATCGTGAAACGCACAGTCATTAAAAGTATTAACAAACGGGGGTGATCAGATTCATTAGAACGGTGGTAGTTATAAGGGTGTTTTTTTAATTTTTTTTTCTTTCTTCCTTTCTTTTTTTTTTTTTTTTTTTTTAGTCGAACAATCGATAAAACCAGGTCGGGGCGATGCGTTTGTTATATACCTATTATGTACGTGATGTAAGATTCTTTAAGGTCAAGACTGAGAGAGCCTCGAGTACTCTACTCTCTCGCTCTATTTTTCTCTGTGTCTTTCTTCCGTGCGCGCTACGGGCATATCGAATACACTGCTCGAATAATAATGCGGCAAATCGATAAAGATGCGACAGGGAGTCGTTACTACTACTTACTACCACTGCTACTACTACTGATATTACTACTACTATTACTACTACTACTACTACTAAACTAACATTGCTACTATCACTACTACTACTATTTTACTCCTGAGAAATACCGAAAAAGACGATTAAAATTGAAAGAAAATGACTTTTGATCTCGTTTATTCTAATAAAGGAATCCATCTTTCTTTCATTATTCTTTCTTTCTTCTTCTTCGTCTATAAGCAATACAAAGAGAATGTCATTGTTCTTCTAGAAAAAATAATAACGAGAATTTGAAGGTTTCCTAAGTTCGAAAGGAATTTATCGATGAAGGAAAAAAAGGGGAAAAGAAAAAGAAAAAAAGAAAAGAAAAAAAGAAAAAAAACATGGCCGACGAGTGTCGCTCTCGTCGATCGCTTTTAGAAATCGAGAGAAAGGAAGGAGAGAAACAAGTGGGGGAAGAGAAAGAGAGATTTCAGTTTAGAACGTGCATTGATTGTCATCATTTGTCATAAACAA